ATGATTTGTTATACTATAGCAAGAACAAAGTTGCATTTTTTCATAATTGATAGATTACTAAATACAAATTTACTAAATCATTTAGTTATACTTTCAAATCAACTAGATATGAATAATTGCTGAAACTGTATTTCTATTCTCTGTATAGTAGTTAATATTGTATATATAATAAGGACTATGAGCAATACTATTTCTAAAATAATTGTTCCTCTTGGAAAACAGTTGAAAATTGAAAAATTGATGATTATAATTTTAAGTAACTCAGTAAAAAAAATGGTCTCAGTAAAATATTTTCTATTTGCTAGAAATTTGAATGATTATATTAATTTCTTATCAGAAATATACAAATATACAAAAAGTAATCTAAGGCTTGTTCAAGTAAAAGAAGGCCTCAGCATTAGTAGACAAGAAATTTACAAAGTTGTATTAGAAATATGAGGTCATGTTTGTCAATTGAAGAATGAAGACAAAGCATTTGCAATGTCACAAAGTATGCTCACTGGGCTAAACTGGTTATATAAAAGAGGTTATATTCATTATGATATCTAACTACCAAATATTCTCTTTATTTCTAGTAATGCAAATTGTAAATATATTTTTATTGATTTTGAATATACTAATATATATAGATTAGTAATATCTAAACAGTTGAAGGATTGAGAAAATAAAACACTCATGGAGCATAATGAGTATACAATACAATCTAATTTGCATTAATTTGAAAAGATACTTAAAGAACTAAGGTTTCTGATATATACTTTTGTCTTGCATCTTTTGTATTACAACTTTTTTATATAATAGCATCTTGATGAACTTCTTGAATATTTCTTTTAACAAACTATTTATTAATATCAGAAAACCTGTTAAAATTTAGTTGATTCCTTTCATCAAAATTAACTTGCTTTAAACACCTATAGCAAGCAACTCTAGCTGAAATATACCTACATAGTTTTCTTGTAGCTAGTATGTTACAAGAATAACAAATTATAGCAGCTCTAATCTATTTGCCAATAAGGTATTCAGAAGTGCTTGTTAATTTAATTCCTAAATTATATGTTAATAAAAATAATGATATAAATATAATTATAATAAATTATATATTAAAAATATTAATAATAATAATAATAATAATAAATTATAATAAAATAATATAATGATATACAGAACTCTTTTCTGTAACTCACTACACCAAAATAGAAAAAAAAGAAAACAACAAAAATAAAGAAAACCTTCCTCCGAGAAGGACTCTAAGTAAAAGAAAACTGCTACCAACAAACAAACTAACAACTATTACTTCAAATAGCAACTTCATCATGCCAAAAGACACAGAAAAAACTAAAAAGAGGCGCTGCCTCTCCAAAAACAATATCAATATCGCTCCTCTCAAAAACAACAACACACTCAATGATAACAACAAAGACGTGATGATGTCAACAAATACGTTAACTTCAGAATCTACCCCAACACAACTTGAACACCCTAAAGAAATCCTTGACTTAATCATCATCAACGCAAATGAACTAACTTATAGAGTGACCTTTATCATTCCTACTTCTTATGATCAGCAACAGCTCTACAACATAGACTGCACAAAAACAGCTATTATAAATAACGTAACCCTCCACCCAAAGTACTGGATTGACTATACTACCAACAGTGACTCTGCTCTCCTCTTTACTCTAACAAAACTCCCCAACAACGCTATAAACATCACTACTATACAAATTACAACTAACATCAACCAATCTTCATTACTTATTCAAACCTATCAGAATAACAAAACTAACTACCTGGCGATGAATGCCCATAGACAAAATTTCGCACTTCCTATGATCCCCTACGACGCTGCTACCCTTCTCAACACTACTCCAATGACAACTATGCCTAATACTCGTATACCCTTACCAGAAATTAGTGATACAATATCAATAGATACTAATGATACACAACAGAATACTACTTAATCAACAACTGAACACAACCCTGAAACAATTAACAACTCTAACACTCAAAACACAAACCCCTATACACAAACAGCATCAGAAGACCATAGTACAACAGATCACTAAAACTAATTATGAGCAGACTAGATGGATGAAGTTACACATAATATACTAATACCGCTCACACCTCTAAAAACACAAGCTAGTCGATCAGCATCTTCTGCATCTTGCAAAACACATGACACATACATGAATGAAAATGAACCAGAAGAATACTCATATGACCCATACTCGAATAGCTCAAGATCTAGAAATATTAACACCAAACTCTCCTACAGCCAAGTACTCCAAAACAACTCTTCTCCAAACAC